ATTATCGTAAGTTCCATAGATTCTACGCGACTTCTGGGGGAATAATCAAAATTCTTTCCTCAATCCAAAGTTTTTATGATTCCTATTGAAAATGCGTAATATGTTAAATGAAAATTATTCCGATTCAATTGAACTCTTTCTTGATTACAGATTATTGCTAGGAAGACACATTTACACACTTCGAACTTCGAAACTGAACTACTAACAGAAACAAAGATCGTACAGACTTTGGCAACATAAACCCACAACGGTCCCATTATTTTACCGATGTTTAAACTGACAACCAAACGTCTAAACATTTGTCCATGCACTTCTCCGAATTCGAGGTCAGAAAAATTTTCTCTCAAATAACAACATAAAGAAACTGTGGAATATAGGACTCATTTTTGTAATTATGGAATGGGAACTCCAACAATTTCCAAAAAATATCATGAAAAACAATCAGATTCTGCAATAAAAACCCAAACTTTTTATCATTCTGCAAAAAGAATATTGCGTGGAATACGTGAACTATCAAAAATTCTACAATTCACAGAAATACTCAAGTGATAATGAATATTTACTGCTTATTTCCCTGGAAAAGTATACAAATCCAGAATTGACTAGTAGATTATCACAAACTTCATAGATGCTTCATGAGTTTCTGATGCACAATTAAACCAAAAATTAACATCTTTCGTGTATTTTTCCCCGATACTATAGATATTTAATGCTAAAGATTACTCAAAAATTCAGTGAAAATTATTCAACAATCTTGAAAAATTCCAGCGACGCATGTAGTTGCATATTCAAATTTCCTATGAAATAGTCATTTATATTTGATCAGCCTTCGACGCAGATTTTAATAAAACACGTGGCCACAATGCTTTTTAGCCCGTGTGGTATATCTTACTTTATATTACGCGATCAGACTAATAGAGTATTTTATTGTCCAAAACAGGTAAAAAGAAAGACGATAAGCGGCTACTTACCTCCCTAGGGCATTAAAACGTATGGGGTTACGGCATAATATACTATTTAAGACCGGATGGAACATCTATCGAATGCGATTCTTGTTTAAATTCTATCTGGTTAGCCTACAATATTCTAAAAATTGGTATCAAATTTGTGTGGCAGAGACCATTCAGATGATTATAAAAAGATAATGAAAGATAAGCAAAGGTTGTGAGCAACGAGGACGTGATAGTCCTTGAATGACTTTTTCAATCATTCATCGCCATAAATGAATTGATGGTATGATTGCGAATGCCTAAAAAAATGCTCAAATCTTTGTATGTACTCTAATTTCCTGAATAATCAATCTTTTAATTTTAAATTTTGCATTGACGAGGTGTGGAATTGGAAAATTTGGTGGAAAGTCTCGAAAAGTTCCTATGATGAGGTATGTGACTTGGAAATGTCCTTTGTTTTGTCTTGAACATTTTTTTGAAAAAAAAAAGAAAAACTGATATATTTCGAATACTCAATATGGAGGAGAATACATATTTCGATTGATTGAG